AACAGAGTGATTAGATTAAGTTAGAAAACATAGGAATTCACATCTAACTTGAGAGCTAATCAAATAAGAATTTGGTTTGATTAACCTGAACAGATTAGGGTGGAAAGCACGGTGACTCATAACCAACCTAAGTGGTGAAAAGGGTGACTAGATTAAGCTAGAAAACACGGGGACTCACATCTAACTTGAGAGTTAATTGAAGAAAGATTTTGTTTGATTAACCTTGACACATTAGGGTGAAAAACACGGGGACTTACTTCCAACATAAGAGATGAACAGGGTGACTAAATCAGCTAAAAAAGAATAGGGACTTAATATAATTAGAGACCTAATCAAAGGGAAATGGATGATCTGAAATGTGGTGAAATACTCGTTATCACGTAAGTATACATGTTGATTAAATAGTATATGGATTTTAAGTCTGTGCATCAATGCCATGAGAAAAAAGATAATTTTCTAACGATTCAAGTACTAGTTTACTATTTCTAAGTTTTGTACATTCAAAAAACTATAAATTAGAAAAACAACACATACTAATTTTTAGGTTTTCCTAAAATTGATAAGCATTTTTTTTTTTGAAATGGATCATATGAATCTTCCATTTTCTTCCAAAAATTTTGCCTATTTAATTTTGACAATTAGGAACAATTACTTCTTACTCTATTCTTAGACATAAGAAGAGTGGTAGCTTCATATTATGGTTAATTCGCTTTAACCCTTCAAAGTCTCCGAGGAATCTACATTCCCATAATTGATTGCAGTCTCCTAATAATAATATTCCTATTTCACTAAGGGGTCGTTTGGTTTGCTTAAAATAGAATGCAATGTAAAAGATTTTACAGAGTACTACAATTACAATATATTTGAATTACTTTTGAGTTGTTTGGTCAATAATAAAATAAACTTAGAACTTTATATATATATATATATATATATATATATATATTTGGTTTGAAGTAATTTGAAAATAATATATTTACTTGGGTAAAGAACAACTAACAACAACAAAGGGTGGCGGTCGGCGATGTGCAACGGGCGGCGAACGACGACGGTGACCAGTGGGGTTGTGTGCAGAGAGCTGTGGACGGCGGCAGCGGCGGGGGGCGGTGATTGCCGGAGTGAGTGTCGGCAACTAGTGGTGGGGAGCCAAGGCGATGGGCAGGCGATAGTGGCAAGCGGCGGCTGAAGACAGCGACTGGTGGGCAGCTTCGTCGTCGTCTTCAGAGACTTGCCTATAACATTTACTTGAATGATGTAATTCAAATTCAGTCAAATCAGCCGAATTCTAAATTCAGCCAAAAATGAACTATAATGTTATTAAAACTTTGCATTGTATTTGTAAATTTGGATATCCAACACAGAATTTTCCTAAATCCCTGCAAAAGATTTACAACAAACCACTAATTCACTCAACCAAACAACCCCTAAGTAATTGAGTATTAACCTACTTATTTTTTCTAACATACGGTCAATAGCCCTACATGACAAGTCATTTTAGCTTATCTACTCGTCTGCAAGAAAGTAAATGAGGATTGGAAATTAGCACACCAACATGCATCCAAATAGTCTAAGGAATTCTCACTAAATGAATATGAATCCTCACATTAACAAATCAAATAAACAAAAATATTTAGTTCCTACACATTCTTAAAAAAACATACAAGATGTCATTGATAGAAATTCAAAGTTTACAAGGAAAAGTACAACTAGGATTTCACTCCAGGCCTTCTCTCATTATTTATCCTCCTTGTTATATCTCAATTCTCCTCACAATTCACATACAGTCACACATAAACATAAATATGGTCTCTCCCCTCTCACAACATGAAGAGAAAGCTTTCCCCTTCAATTGTATGATGTCGCCCTCCAAAGTTTGCTTCTTCCTCAAGTGTTCAACCTTTCAATGTCATGAAGAAGTCATCTTTAGTGAAGAAAATTAGCTATTTTATCAACTCCCCTAGCCAGAACATTAGTAAAACCACTAAAGCCACCTTCGCTGAGGGGCTTGGTGGTGATGGCTAGATGGCGTTGGGTACAGACGCAGTGACGCTTGGGCGCTGTAATTCATGGGTCTGGATCTTAAAATTAGGGTATTGGGTGTGGTAGCGCTAATACTTGTAGCAGGACTGCGGCGATGATGAGCGGATGAGTGTTTGGGTTCTTGTGTTGTATTGTCTTGTGTTTTTTATGTATTGAAAAAAGTGGTTGCATAGGGAGTTCAAACCATTGTGCTCAAAAGCAGAATTTCCCGATATTTTGGCACCTCTAAAATTGTAAGAAAACGTCTCCCGCATATGTGGGACTAAACCATAAAAGAACAATTGGATTGTGGCTTTTTTTTTAGTAGGACCGTGTTTTTTTTCAGACATTACATACATACTGGCCAAATTTTGAAATCTCGAAGTTTACTAATAAAAATAATTTCATTTTAGTCTTTTAGGTGCCCCTATCTAATTCTATGACATTGGTTCATAATATTTTTTATCTCAAAACTCTTTATCTTAAAATTTAGAATTAATAATCTACATTGAGTACATAAATTCTCAATTGGAATGACTTTACAATCTTTACATTCTCGGCGATCTTTTTTTTTTATAAGAAAATAATTAATTTTTGTTTTACTATATCCATTCTTAATAGTAGTAATATACTCATCACTTAAATAAAGTATTAGAAATAACAAATCATATGCTAAAGTAAAATCTAATATGACTCTGTCTTCTTCTTTAATCACTCCAAAGTTGTAGCCACCATGAATATTTCCAAAATCTTCTATCACTCTACCATTATGTTCATTTAAATCTTCTCCAATAAAAATCATTTCTTCACGAAGTCTCATTTGTATTAATTCATCTCGATCATTACAGAATTTTTCCTTAGAACTTATATCTAAATCTACATGAGGAGCATTAGCACTTATAATATTAAAACTCTTAGTATCGGAAACAATCTTAAAGGGCTATAATTCTATCTCCAATTCTATTAATTTTTATGATATTATCTTTCAAACTCTTATCTATAATTACACCTACACTATTTGTAATACGACTACTACCTGGACACCAAAATTTAAAACATAAACTATCAATCTCCTTAGTGTTTTCTCCAACCTTTTTAGTTTCTTGAATACTTAAAATATTTATCTTCTTATGAACCATAATATAAACAGATTCCATTAATTTATCTATGAGAGTATCTATATTCCAAGATCATATTCTAATATTAGTTTCATAGACCAACTTCATTACCCACATTCATTTATGACCCACATTCATCCGTAATATGAGAACTCCTTCTTATTTGACACTACACACGAGCGCTGGTGTAGCGGCTCTTGCACACTTTTCACTGTATTAATGTCATACAACGCGTCACTTCCAGGGGAGACCCTAGCATTTACATAAGGATCTAATAAACTCATGTCATGATTTTTTGACAAAGTTTACGATTGTTGTTGACTACATAACATAGCCCTTCATTTTTCATATATGGCGCTTGGGTCCCAGTGATGCCAATGTTTAGGCCTCTTTCAATTTTAAGAACTAATTAAAATATCTTCAATTATAATTTAATCTTTTGAGAAAGTTGTTGCACGTGCATGCGTATATGCATATACTTATTTCAAGAAAAAATGTGATTTTACAGGTTCTTATTTAAAATACATCATCATCGAAATGTAAATGATTCCTTCAAATGGCCCATTTTGTTATGGTTTTTATTTCTCTAAAAAAAGAAATATTTTCCTTGCACGACCAACTTCTTCAACACATAAAGAAAACATTTCAATTGGTAAATTAAGTACATCATGGTAGAGAATGTACAAAGCATGGAAAATACTATCACACTTACAATTCATTAGCTAAGAGCGCTCGTAATACGACTACTACCTGGACACCAAAGTTTAAAACATAAACTATCAATCTATTTAGTGTTTTCTCCAACCTTTTTAGTTTCTTGAATACTTAAAATATTTATCTTCTTATGAACCATAATATAAACAGATTCCATTAATTTATCTATGAGAGTATCTATATTCCAAGATCATATTCTAATATTAGTTTCATAGACCAACTTCATTACCCACATTCATTTGTAATATGAGAACCCCTTATTATTTGACACTACACACGAGCGCCGGTGTAGCGGCTCTTGCACACTTTTCACTGTATTAATGTCATACAATGCGTCACTTTCAGGGGAGACCCTAGCATTTACATAAGGGTCTAATAAACTCATGTAATGACTTTTTGACAAAATTTACAATTGTTGTTGACTACATAACGCAACCCTCCATTTTTCTTATCCAACGCTTGTGTCCCAATAATGCCAATGTTTAGACCTCTTTTCAATTTTAAGAAGTAATTAAAATATCTTCAATGATAATTTCAACTTTTCAGAAAGCTGTTGCGTGTGCATGCATATATTTAAATGCTTATTTCAAGAAAAAATGCAATTTTACAGGTTGCTCTTCTTTAAAATACATCATCATCGAAATGTAAATGATTCCTTCAATTGTAATATTTTATTGCCCATTTTATTATGTTTGTTATTTCTCTATAAAAAGAAATATTTTCCATGCACGACCAACTTCTTCAACACATAAAGAAAACATTTCAATTGGTAAATTAAGTACATCATGGTAGAGAATGTACAAAGCACGGTTCTTCACGCACTATCACACTTACAATTCATTAGCTAAGAGCGCTCGAATGAATATAAATATGTGAGAAAAGTCCCAAAATAGTCTAGACCATTTACATGAGGCTGCTTTAGTCTAAGAGTTTATAGAAGTGTCAAAATATTTCCTGATTACTTTAAAATTAAGCTCTAATAGTTCTCTAGGGATACTATTTCAGCCCCAATTTAAAAAGATTTGGGAGCAGTTCGCCATTTTTATAAAGTCTGGGACTATAATGAATACATGTAAGTAGTGAGAGACTATTTTAGCACTTCATTCTAAATTATTAAAACATGAGAAAATCAGAAATAATAATCTGCAGCATGATTTCTGTACAGGTTGACACTGCAACTCTTCCATATGATATTGCTCTCTAGAGGGTATAATGTGCTACAGTGTGTTAATCTTAGATCCCTGCAAGATAATTGCTATTGTAAGACTGAACAAAGAGACAAAATGAGAAAAAAATTAAGCAAAAAAATCCAAACCTTTGTATTTTTTTTAATATATAAATTAGAACTTCCCAATATGATGTTGATGATGCTTCTTTCTTCTAGAGTTTGAAAAGGAGCTGAATTTAGAGCATGTCTTCTTGAGCTTTGCTGCCTGAGACTTTACTGCCTTCCTTCCAGCCATTTCAGCCATGTAATGCACCACAGCCTATTTCAATTACAGCACACAAAATTTCATAATTGCATGCATAGAACTTTGGTGGGATAAAGTTTTTTTACTCAAAAAAGCAAAATTTATATCAAGATTTACCTGTGCTCCCATATTGGCAACATGCCTGGGAGGAACCTCTAAAGGATTCTCTTCCATTTGAAGCACGCACAGCTGCGTCAACATTCCGAACGAATCCGGCAGCACTTTGATCTGATTGTTACTAATATCCAATTCCTCCAACACCTCAAGGTTGCCAATGGCCCTCGGCAACAACTGGAGATCAGCAAAGTTATTGGATACATTCAGCCTCACAAGTGTTGTCACAAGGCACAAACTCTCTGGGATGGATTCGAGCTCGTTGAAGCTGGCATCGACCTCCTTAAGCTTTGAGAGTGAAGCTATCGTGGTGGGAAAGCCCTTGATGTTGTTATATCTCACCGAAAGGATTTCGAGAGACGAAAGCCTTCCAATTGCTTCAGGAAGGCATTTGAGGCAATTGTAGTCAGCCCGAAGCTCTGCGAGTGAGTTGCAGTTGCCAATTGTGTGAGGGAGCTCCTCAATGTTGTTTGCCTCCATGTTTAGCTTCTTTAAGTTGATGAGATGACCAACTGAATCTGGGAGAAAGGAGAGCCTATTGGAGCTGAGATCAAGTTCTGCTAAATTTACTAGTTTTCCAATGGTGGGGGGAAGGGAAGTGAGCTGGTTGCCTCTCAGGTTCAGGTGGCATAGGCTGAGGAGGTCGCCGATGGACTTGGGGAGCTCGGTTATCTGATTTGCTCGAACGTCGAGAGTTCGTAGCAAGGAAAGGGATCCGACTGAGGTTGGAATGGAATGTATGCTGTTTTCAGAGAGATTCAAAATGGTAAGAAATGAGAGCTTTCCTATTGAGCTTGGCAGCCAGTCCACATCATCCATCAGCCTGTTCTGAAGATTCAGTTCTCTGGTACCTTTCTTCAAAGCAAGTTCAATCAGGCTTGCCAGTTTGATTAAGCTTAGTTTCTCATGCTCATCAACTGCAGATTCAGCATCAGAGAAATAAATAGAAATCATAAGTATATGCAGAATGATATTTAGTTGTTGCTATATATAACATGCTTTAATAGGTCAGAACTGAAGAGCTAAGAAAAAGGCTGCATTTCAACCATTTATTATAACATAATTTAATAAAATATTATACAAAGTAGCCCAATTTAGTATGATTGGATAAAATATTACATGTATTTGATTGTTTTGTATTTTTAAAGGGATATGGAATTGTGGAGTTATTAGAATTATTATTTTGCTATATTAATATTATTACATGGAACTTAAATTTATAATAGGAATCTATATCATTTATTAGTATAATTTATGCTCATTATTAGGGATATTCTCTTTTTTTTCTATTTTCTCTATTATTTTCTTATCTTATATATATATATATATAATTTAAGGTAGTATTATAATAAAATGACAAAAGAATGAGCAGTTATGAAAGATATAATAAGAAATTATTTAATATACTATATAAAATTTTATTTCTTAAATATTTTTAATATTTTAAAGAAAATTTTCAAATTTAATATCTTTTGATTATATTTTATATAAAATATTATTTCTTAAATATTTTTAATATTCTAAAGAGAAATTTTCAAATTTAATATTTTTTTATTATATTTTATATTAATATTTTTTTTAAACGAACTGACTCACGAGTTAAAGAGTCTAGCCGAGGCTGGCTTGAGCTTGGTTCGTTATCTCATCGAGCTCAATTCACGAGGCTCTTATCGAGCCAAGCTCGAGCAAGACTCATGAGTCGGCTTTAATCATTTACACTTTTACATTTTTAATATTTTAAAGAAAATTTTCAAATTTAATATCTTTTGATTATATTTTATATAAAATATTATTTCTTAAATATTTTTAATATTCTAAAGAGAAATTTTCAAATTTAATATATTTTGATTATATTTTATATTAATATTTTTTTAAACGAGCTGACTCACAAGTTAAAGAGTCTGGCCGAGGCTAGCTTGAGCTTGGTTCATTAGCTCATCGAGCTCAATTCACGAGGCCCTTATCGAGCCAAGCTCGAGCAAGACTCATGAGTCGGCTTTACTCATTTACACTTTTACATGGAATGAAGTGCAATGAGTTTGGTGCCACATAGAAGAAAAGACTTTGATGTTGAACAGAAGATGAGTTATTTCATGTAAAAATAATAATAATAATTGATTTATTGGTAGACAATTCTATATGATTTGTTCACCTACACGAGTTTACAAGGGAATGTTTGAATTATTAAATTATTATATTATTATATCAAATCGACACATGCGACTTGAATTTATGGTAGAAATCTATAATATTTATCAATGTAATATATTCATATTTTTTAGGATATTCTCCTTATAAAAAACCAAAAATAAATAAAATAAAGATGTGGCCTTTTATGATTTCATTCTTTTGAAGCAAGCAAACCTCTAGCACACAAAGTAAAATCATGCACCAACTATTGATTAGAACAATATTTAATAATATAACATACAAGATAAACAAAATTTAATATCATTGAATAAAAATTTAATAGGTATTTAATTGCTTAGTTATTCAAAGAGTATGGAACTAATTATTATTAATTAAGCAAACCTCTAACATAAACAAAGTGAAACAATAAATAAACTATCTATTAGAACCTACTTTAATAAAATGACATGCAAGGTAACATAATCTAATATGAGAATAACATATTGCATGTACTTAACTGCTTCGTATGTTCGAAAAGCATAAAAGTAATTACACTTTTGAGTTAAGCAAAATTCTAAAATACACAAAGCAAAATTATGCATGCATGCAAAGTATTGCTTAGATTATTTATTTTGACCAATTAATAGAGAATATACAAATTAAAATTATTAAACTACACAAATGTTTGATTCACTCAACATATGTCATATAATGTTATGTCATCATCCATAATGATTCAAGCTCTCATGTGATGGCATTTTTTAAACTTAATTTTACATATGACATTAACTTATTCCATAGGAATCTAGGAACTAGGTCATCAAATAAGTAATTATTATTATTATATATTGATCATTTTGAATAATGTTTCGCCATTTAAATAAAAAATAAATAAATAGTATAAAAATAAAATGAAAACATTAAATAAAGAGTATAATCTAATTGGCAAAAAACATAAATGTTATTTTAATTATAAAATATAAAAATAGTGCAAAAAGAAAAAAAGACATGAAATAAAGACAATTATCAAATGGACAACAAACATGCATTCTTTAATGCTTTTTTATTACAAATTATTATAATAACTATATTCAATATATGACAAAATAAGGATCCTCTAGTATAATTGAAAACAAACAAACAAACAAAATTGAAGTGAATTACATACTGACCAACATAAACATGTTATTTAGAAAATCAACCACCATCTTTCATTCATTCTTCAAATTTTCGCTCAAATATCAAAATTCATGCCAAAACTCTAACCCGTGTTTTTCATTTTATATCAAACTCTCAAAAATTTGATCGTGTCACGCGTAAAAACATCATTTTATAATTCCAAAAAAAATCACTTTGATGATAAATTTATAAATATCAATATTTCAGATGATCTGCATGCAATTATCCCTAAAAAGAAAAGCTTGAAACTCACCTAACGCAACAATTTCCTGCCTTCCTTTTTTCACAAAGCAATCACCCTTACTCTCCTCAACTCCATCCCCTCCACCACCACCAAAACTAGCGCCATTTGATCTCAGCAGGGGAATACACTTGGAAGCTCTCTGAATCAAATCATCAAACACCTGATGTACGCTCTCCAGATCCAACAGCTTCATGGCTTCCTTCCTCTGAGCCTTGCACTGAAACCTCACCAAACTCCTCTGCATCTCCTGAAAAACGAAGAAGAGCTCTTCTGGAACATCAGAATCCCGGCTCTGCTTCGAAATGGCTTCAAGTCTCGACCTTTCTTCTCCGTCGACGTCGCCGATGATGGCCATGGCGGCTTCCACTTCGTCGATTGGAGGTTGGGGGAGAAGAGAGCAGTGAAGTCTTGTTATCTCTTTGATGATGTCGTCGCTCGAATGCAGATGGGAGTTCATGTTTTGTGGGGAGTTTTTGATCAAAGGAGAGATTTTTGGGAGGAGGAGGAGGAGAGGGTTCACGAGGAATGGAGAAGAACCAGAAGAAGAAAGCGAGATGATGGTGGTCACCAACTTCACGAGAGTTTTTGTGCTTTGTTTGGAAATTTTATGTTGATGATTTTGGTAAAAGATTTTGGTGCAGAATATCTGTTTTGAAGTAAATTAAAAAACATTTCGTCCCCATGCCAATCATCGTCATGAGATGTATGACGACGTGATGCTCAGTAGTTGATTATTCATATGTGCGGTGTTGTGACGTAATATTTTCTCTAAGTAGTGAGTCTTCAAACTTTCTCTCGGGCGAATAAAAAAACTTATTTTTGATTTAGATTTAATGTGATTTTGTTTTTTCTTATGATTTGTTATTTATTATTAACAGTGTAATATAAGAGGAGTTTGATATTTGTATTTTTTTTTCTTGAGAGATAAAGGAGAAATTGAGCTTTGAGTTTTGGCGGTAAGTGTACGGATGTTTAACGGTAAATATAATATAATGGTCGTTAAAGAGTTAGTTGTGAAAAATAAATAAATAAAATTTATGGGTCGCCGTAATGTGAGAGTTGAGTTCAAATTATGTGCTAGGGATACTTACATACGTGCTACTCAATTGTTATGTATTTACGTATTTAATATTTAGATTTTAGTTTTTACACACACATGTAGTGACTGTTTGGAAGGACACGTTAACGGCCCAAGAGAATAGACGATAAAATCAAGTGGGTCTACCAAAAGGCAGGTCAACAAATCATATAAGCAACTGAATATGACAAACTTGAGACTACCTATATCGCAAGGGTGGTCAAAGAGTTGTAAGCCCAAGAGGCTTATTTAGATGACGGGCAAAGAGTCGTTCAGGTCTACCATTATGATGAAGTCAATCTGAGGGAGAACCTAGTCCCCATACTCTGTAGTACCAGCATCATCTAATTGTCTCCTCCAATTCTATCAATAGCATATAAGAGCTCCATGTCATCCTTTCGAGATCATCTAGTCCAAGGGAAAGCTATCAGTCGGATTAAGGTGATTTATATTCTGCCCTATGGTGTAGCTCCACCCTGTCGACAAACGCCCCTTGGTGGAGTGGAGATCAATGGTCGACGACTGGACTACGTCTATCAATCGATAAAATTTAATCGATCAAGCCAATCCTATTGACCCGCAGCTAGCGAATAAACCGATAACATTCACGCATCCAACCAACCGACGAGGCTCGCTGAATTCTTATCAAGTCTAGACGATCAAGCAAGAGAGCAGCAAGTATTTGGGCTCACAAAGGGTGAAATATATAAAATGACATGTATTGTCCCTACTTAAGTAGGTGCTTATGCATAATTTCATATATTGTACCTATTTTTTCTATAATACATGAGATAATTTCATGAATAAAATGTTATACAGTTTCATTCTATTGTTCGTTATTGTGTTATCTCTATCTCTCTCTTCTTCTCTGTGTTTTATTCATTTGTTGTAATTCATATGACAGAATGGGATATATATATATATATAT